CTTGAAATGCATCAAAACCATCATCTGAATTTCCTGATGAGAAGGAAGAAATCAGTATGAAAAGCTTTATTCCTTGTTTTATATATACATATATACGCTATGTATGTTATATATATAATATGTATGTTATACATATATGTGTTATATATACATTATATATATACGTGTTATATATATGCTATATATAAACATACTTTAATTCAAACATATTTTACTTTGGGGCATTACTGTGTTTATATCTGTTTATTAGACACTGATATCCCTCTCAGCTTGGCACTTGTTCCAGAGTTATTTTTAAAATGACAATTTCCCAGATAATTCGTGGCATGTGACGCCTGATCTTCAGGGAAAGCCATCTGTGCTTCTGCTTGCCAATAATTTAGCACACAACTGTACAGGCAGTAAATACCTCATCCTCAAACTTCAGAGTCTGCATGTACTGTATAAAATCACTTTGTTGCTGTACTGTACATGTAATCAGAATATAGTCTTTTAATCAATAACTCCAACACTTGCTCTGTCAAGTGCCTTGGAGAAAACTCTTGTGTTTATTCTGCCTCACAACTGCACAGGGCTTGCATCTGCAATATGCTACAGAGTGGCTGAATGAGTTCCCAGACCCAAAGCAGGGCCCTTTATCTGCCCTCCTCCCTGGAGATGGGATCCCATCTGAAATCACACCCTTGCTTTAACAGCCTGGCACAGACAAGAGCCCAGAGCTGGGCAGGAGAAGCTGCCCCAGCAGCTGAGCTGTGGACAGCTGGGGCTTTGGCAGGGGAGCCTGCAGCAAGAAGATATTTCTCTTCTTCCCCTCCCCTCTGTGGTCAGGTCAGAGGTGACTGGAGGAATTTGAACGCCTCATTCCTACCCTCCTAACTCTGAGTCAGCTGCCTCTTAAACCTGCTCTAATAAGGGGCTTTGAATTAGAAGAGGAAAATCATCCTTGCTTTAACCCCTCTTGGACAGAAACTCTGGATGTCTGCCAGCCACCACCAAGAAGAAAATATAATTTTTGAATTATTTTCTTTTTGCAGTATTGCTTCCCCAGGACTGTTACCTGGCTTTGCTGACACAACCAGAACAGTAGTTCCTAGAGATGCACTTGCTTTCATGGACACTGCTTCTAAATCCTCAATTCCTGCAGCCAAATAACAGCGTGTGGGTTGTGGACTGGTGGCCAGCAGAGCCTGGAAGGCTGGCTGCAAAGCACTGGGTTTAGGAGAGGGATTTGGAGGAGGACGGAGTGGTTGAGTGACAGCCAGGTTCAGGTTTCAATGCCATAATGACCTCCCTGGGTTTTGCATTCACAGAATTCACCCCTGCAACCTCTTACCTTGTACCAGTGCCATGGTGCTCTGGTGTGTCAGTCACAGACCTGCCCTGTGGCTCTCCTGTGGGACCAGAAAACAAAGAGAAAAACCTTTATTTTTTTTCCCCCACGTGACTTACCTCAGCTGAGCTCAGCAGAGACAAAGCTTGCTCTGCAAGGACCAGGCTCCTTGCCCAGGCATCCTCACCTGGACATGGTGCATGGCGTGGAACATCCCTTTCTACCCTGGCCAGCCACCACCCCACCTCCTGCCTGTCCCTGGGGACAAGCGAGAACCCTAACATGAGATGCAGAGTAAAATGAGAGTGTACCAAATCCTGCTAACACTGCTTGTTCTTTGGACTGAAAATGTTTGCATTCTTAGCCAAGTATCCCTCAGGGAGGTAGGCAGGAGGTAGGGGGGTGGCTCTCCATCCATCTCACATTTCCTCTGTGCCCCTTTACCCTGCAGTGAGCAGTCCCTCAGCAGCTAATGGTGACCACCAGTGTTCCCACCTACAGCTGGTATGGTGCAGAAACTCACTCACACTTTCAACACACTTACACTTGCAACAACTTATGAAGCCAAAGAGCCAGCTCCAGGATGAAGGTCTCCTTCCCATACAAGTGCAAACAGCATCCTGCATTTCATGATTGTATTGTGATCACTAAACATCCCATGATAAATACTAAAACTACCCTTCTACATGACTTGATTTATGCAGCCAAGGAGAACCTTTGATACATAGACAAGTGTTTTCAAAAACACTTCTCTGAGACTGACCTTTTTCCACTCAACAAAGCTTGAGTACTTTTGATATATGAGGTACTCTTTGTGTACCTCATACATCACAATAGGCCATATGTCTATCTAAAGACTTTCTAAAAACAATCTGAGAGATGGTTTCTGATCTCCAGGAAAACAAGGACCAGCACAGGAGATAACATCTTTTGAAATTTCCTTTTGCCCATACAAAATCAGAGCAGCAGGGGCAAGCTCAAAGCACTTCTGAGGCTGAGTCACTGGGAGCACATCAAACACGCAGAAGCACAAGATTTCATGGACAAGCTACAAAGACTGGTCAGAGGCATGATGTCTGCCCCTTTCTTTCGAGTGAAGAAGGGACACTGACCTGAGCTGACAAGGCATTTATCATCTTCCCTGCAATTATCCGTGTTCTCTAAAGTCTCAAAATCAGTGAGCCTGAAAAGACAGTGCTGTGGAATAAAAAACATGAGATCGGTGGTCTAGCATCTCCCCAAGCCACACAGAACTTTACAAGCCCAGGGGTTCCCAAAGCCTCTTCCCCTCAACACATTACTGCTAGAAAGAGTTCTGCATGTCACAGGCAAGGCAGAATCATAGAATGATGGAATCACAGAATTGTTCTGGTTAGAAGAGACCTTCGGGATCATCGAGTCCTACTGTTGACCCAGCCCTGCCAGGTCACCACTGACCCGTGTCCCTCAGCACCACATCTCCACAGCTTTGAAACCCCTCCAGGGATGGGGACTCCACCACTGCCCTGGGCAGCCTGAGCCAGGCCTGGACAACCCTTTTGGGGAAGGAGTAAAGTACATCCAAGGCCCTGTGTGGAGGAAGCCCTGAATGTGAGGAAGAAGTAGCACTGCACTACCACCTACCTAAAAGTAGGTTCTGTCCAGAGCAAGTGAAGTGCTGAGGTTAAATCCCCTGCCTTGAATGAGAGTTGGCGTATAGATGACACCCACAGGCAGGGCCCTTCTGACTGGTTTTCACCCAGGGCCTGGCCAGCCTTGGGTGGGAACTGATGAGGAGATCACCACCAGGTGCCCCCACCTTCCACATGAACTTGGAGTTGGGGCAAGAAGCCACCTCTATAAGAGCTGACTGCTGGTAGTACAGTTGAGTGACCTGCTTGCATAGTGCATGTTGGTCTGGTTACTGAAGAGGCTCCCTGACTCTCCATGGCAAGTGGAGCTCCCAGGATGGTGAGGCAAGATGACTGGACTGATCACCTGGGTCTTTCCTTCTCCCATGGCATGGTTCTGGAGTCAGCTCGCTCGCTTCTGCAGACCCTATGCTGTAAGTGAATCTATTCACTTATTTTTCCCTCAGTGGTCTGGCACGTTGGATTGTTGGCCTAGGATTTAAGAGCAGAGGGAGGGCTTTGGTGACTGCTTTGCCTGTTGGTGATAATATCTTTCTTAGTTGGGCAAGTGGTCAGCAGAAGAGGAAGGGACAAGTTTCATAGATAACAGGCACAGGCTTGTTTCTCTATGCCTCCAAATATGCCCTGCAGTGATAATGAGATGTCATGGAAGAAAGGACATAAATAAAACAAAGCCAGCTAGAAAAATGGGAGAAAGTACAAGTTAGAGGGGCAGGAGCATCCTGCTTGCTCTTGGAGAGTAAGTGACCAGGGGCTTTACTATTTTAACACTGTGCCCTGCTTCTCAAACACAGCCCTGACCCTTTCCCCTCTACTTTGCAATCACACTGTCCTGTGGGACGTAACACATCACCACGTGTCTCCTGGCCAGCAGAGAGGAAGGGATCACAGCTGGCTCCTCCCTGCATTTTCTGGAGTGGTGTGGGTGCTCCATCAGGGCTCTCCTGAGCCTACCAGAACTCGAGGAAAAGGTGACTGCAGAGTGTTAACAGCAGGTTACCCGACTTCCGACCAGGCTGTAGCCCCCCCCCAAAGCCTGCTGCACAACCCAGCCCCACCCTGAGGGGAGGACAGCAAGGTCCAGTAGAGCAGCGACTCGTGTTGCACGGCAGGGACCGGGCTGGTGCCAGCTCAGCACCTCACAAAGGTACAGCCCTGGCCCAGAGTCAAGCTGCTCCAGCCTTTGTCTGCTCAACACAAGGCAGCCTTGATGCTATTTCAGGATGTCCTCTCAATAGCTCAGCTGGCAGAGCAGGAGCATGGGTATTTTTTCTCTCCAGGGCAATGCTGAGGTCTGCAGCTTAAAGGAGA